ATTATTATTATTATTATTATTATTATTATTATTATTATTATTATTTTATATTATTATTGTTTTTCTTTTAATTATTATTGTTATTATTAGTATTATTATTTTTTTTTTATTTATTAATTTTTTTTTTAACTTATTTTGTTATCTATTTATTTATTTTTTTGGATGGACAGGACGGGGGAGGGTGGCGGTGTCGGCTCGGTGCCCGGCTGGCTGGTGGGTCCTGCTGCCGGTCCCGTGCCCCCGGGCTATGGTGGTGAAACTGGTGGGGCCCCCCTCTCTGGAGGGGCTCTTGGAGAACGGGGGTACCACTGGGGGGGGGCTTATTTTATGGGCCTCACCACGGTCGGCCTCCTCCATCCCCTCTCGCATCTAGACATTGAGGGTTCAGGGTTGTCGAAGGGGGGGGTGTGCTGGCATCGTCTATCTCCTGGAGGGGGGATGGACTGTGCCGGACACCCCGTCTTGATACTCCCAGTTTTAATTGCATCTGAGAGCAACACGCAACACCACATTCGAGCGGGCACAGGGAGGATCGGGGTCTTCTCACACCCCTGGTCTTCGGCTGCCGCCCGGAGTCTGGGACCTGGAGGAAGAGCAAGCCACCTGGTCCGTGGTCTTGGCTGGGGCCGACTGCGGGGCCTAGGTGGCTTGCCGGTGGCGGGGCTGTCACCTCTGCTCTCCCCAAAGAAGGTTGGATGGAGGGGCATGAAATGCCTGGTTGAAGCGTTTTTTTGGGTTTTTTTCGGGGGGGGCGGTTCTGGTTGGATGGCCTGCGCGGGATGGGTGGGCCCCGGTTCCTGGGGGGGCTCTTGCTGGGGGTGGTCCAGTCCGTGTGTGGGGTGGGGGGCCGGGCTTGAAGCAGGAATGAGATGGATTGGTGTGGCGGTGTCGCCGCTCCCCTCCCCCCACATCCGGATTTTAGGTTCACTTATTGGGTCATCCGATAGTCCCGGGACCAACCACCGGTGTCACCGGGTTTTTGGTCATGGTTTTATTGGATGTGAGTATTATGTGTGAATGTGTGTCCGTGTAATTTCTTTATTTATTATTAGTATTATTATTATTATTTTATTTAAATTTTTTTTTATTATTTTTCTCTGTGGTACGAGTGGGGGCACTAGGGAGGGAAGGCATGATTGAGATGGTGTGTTTTTTTTTTTGTTTTTTTTTTCCCAGGTTGGGGTCTCAAC